CCCCTCCCTCCCTTTCTTTTTTTTTTCTTCTCCCCCCTTCCTCCCTCTTTCTTCCCCCTCCCTCCCCTACCTGTGTGGTAGTGTGGCCGAGCCCAGTATAGTCCGACCGGTACAGGGAGCTGTTGTTTCCTGTACCCGGCCACACTAACAGGAAGTGAACACTCAGTGTTCACTTCCTGTTAGTCCGGCCGGGTACAGGAGACAGCTGCTCTCTGTACCGGTCGGACCATGCCATAGAGGGCTCGGCCACGCTACAGAGAGGGAGCTGACAGGTGGGAGCGCTCAGCGCTTCCTCCTGTCAGCCCCTCTCCCCATGCTGCGCCCGGGCGGTGCGGTCCGCCCTCATGGACGCACCGCCCGGGCAAAGCTGCAGCCGCCTGAGGCTCTTTACAGAGCGCTCGGGCGGCTGCAGCATGAGCGGGGCCGGCGCTCCTGGCGGCGCCCCCTCCCAAGGGGCGCCCTAGGCGGCTGCCTAGTCCGCCTTACAGGTAGCGCCGGCCCTGGATCAAGGATATAAATCTGTTTGGCAGACTCCATAAGTTCCATATGATAAAGGATGAGAAAAAAGCTAATTAACTCGGGTTTAATCTGAAGGAATACCAATGCCTTCAGGACTTGGTATCGCTACTTGAAAGTAATGATAATGTTTCACCCAAACCTTATACTGACCTTCGACCCATGAGCAAATTTACTCCAAATATCCGTGACTTCAGGAATATTGACCTATTTGTTGAATCTACCTGTAATACCATTTCAAATATTTCCACAGAGTCACTTATCCTAAGACCACAGGGTAACCTTACAAGAAGTGAGTGGAAGGGTCTCCAGGACCTGCATGACAATGAGGACGTCATCATAAAACCCGCTGATAAGGGGGGTAATATAGTTCTTATGAATAGGGAATAGGGAACACTACATTCAGATTGCTAGGATAATCTTAAACGATGGATCAACCTATAGTGTACTGACTGGGGACCCCACTGCTAAGTTCCTGAGGGAATATAAATCTCTCCTTGATAAAGCTTATGACGAGCATGTCATTAACAAGGATAAGTATAACTACATCTACGAAAACAAACCAACTGTGTCCACCTTCTGCTGCCTCCCAGAGGTCCATAAACAATACGCCAACCTGACGGGAAGACCCATAGTTTCAGGGTCTAACAATTTGACCTATAGAGGCAGTATATATGTGGACAAGATAGTACGTACGTTTGAAGAGAACTTACCATCATATCTGAGAGATACGAAAGACACCCTCAAATGCCTGTCAGAACTCAAAGTACTCCAGAATGCTATCATCTGCAGCCTGTATGTGGAGGCTCTATACTCTTCAATCCCACATTCTATAGGTATTGAGAACACCAAATTCTTTTTAGAGACCAGGGGCCCTGAACATCCGAGACACAAGTCCTTTGTCTTAACACTCCTGCGATTCATCTTAACACATAACTTCTTTTTATTCCACAATCAATTCTACCACCAGGTTGGTGGGAAAGACACATTGTATTTGCACAGGCTTCCAAGCCATACCTGATATATAGATAACGTCCTCGTTGTCTGGACTGGGGAGCTCTTCACTCACTTTGTCAAACATTTGAACACAAATGATCTCAACCTAAAACTCACCATGGAAATAGGGACCCCTTCACTCAAGCGGTGCAGGCAGCAGTCAAAGGAACCTCTCCACTCTCCTTTGAGAATATGATGCTCACATTTTATGCCGACCTATTTGGAGACACCCTGAAATGGAGGAAAACCCTACAACCGTTCACCACACTGCTACGCACCCACAATATCCCATATCCCTGGAGATCACCGCAGCTACTCCACATTGTAAAAGGTGACTCTGCTCACTCTGTCAGGGATCTGATGGAAGTGGCGGCCTTCTTGGAAACCATCGGCCTCCCACGAGATGCGCTCACCCGCAATACCGCTACCACGCACACGTGGGATCCTGCAAGAGTTACCCCGTTCATTCCTTAGAGGGCCCACTCAGATGCATATGCGGCAGCCACCACCTGAAGCGGCACTGGACTACCCAGGTTCCAAAGGGACGTTACCCATTCTTTTATTACCCACAGCTTGGGGTTCATCCGAATCCTGTCTTCTTGAGTTATTTTTCTACATTGCTTTTAGTTTGTTATTTTCTTTGAGAGCTGATGCCTGAAGTCATATATGATACACGCACAAACAAACACACGCACCCAGGGACCTGGTGGTCAGATGATATAGGTCCCTATATCATTGCCGCTCACTCCCCCCCTCCCACTTCCACACCTCTCACTCTGAGCACCTTGGAAAACAGAGGCGACATAGCCTGGAGGTGTAAGACGACAAAGTCCGTATAATCCCCCCCTAGCACACGTATACATATAAGCTACTTAATTTTAAGCATAGGCCACATGCAAACACTAGACATAGAGCTGAAGCGCTATCGACGCAATACTACATGCTCTTCCCTCCATACTAATGCCAGGTCAGCAACCCAGAGATGGCTCCACGAGATAAGGAAATGCACACCTATCTCATACCCTTAGCAGGCCTTGACAACAAGTGCCCAGCAGGCTCATAAATAGTCCGCCAGATAAGCACCAAAAACCAGGATGGTATATCCACCGAGTTACCTATACAACCAGTTATTTATGACTTTCTTTCAATTTTTCTTTTGAATATAGTACATTACCGTCAGTTTGAATCAGCAGTTTATTTTTAAGCTCACTAGTGTCGATCTACTGACATATATTCAACACTCGCTTATGTTATATTGTTATGATTTTGAACCACTAATTACTTCAAATGTGCAAGCCCTACTCATGCCTAGATTTTTTAAATTAAACACTCTGGCATCTAAGGGCTTCACGTTCTCCACGTATATTGGCAGCTAAGTAAGACATTGCAATTATGATTTATGGGTTAGATCATTATTTATTTACCATTTCTTCTATTTTGTATATAGTTTTATGTATTCTTGAGAGGGACAAGCAATATACCGAGGGCTGTATTTAACTTCCTCACCTGGGGTCCCTTTAATATAATAATAGTAATAATAGTAAGGAGTGTTAAAATATTTGGATAGCATATACTCTGTAGTATATAACTTACTATTTAGTACACTATTTATAGGAGTATTTATCATAAGGTCACAGTGTATATTCGCTTTTCTTTTCTATAGAATATAGAATATGGAAACATGATATTTCTTCTCTGTGATCTTTAATACAAAAAGTATATATATAATTTCACTGCTCAAACCATGCTTGTATGATTCATGCTTTACTGCATATAATTGTACAGTAGCTTAGTACAATACTGTGACGGACCACCTTGCACCCTGACTGAGTACCTCCGTCAATCGCTGCTTCCTAGTACTTGCAAGCACCATAAGCACTGCACCGGAACACCATAACCACCGTAAACCCCTCGAACCGCCGCAGCTTGGTTGGGGTCTCGCTGTCCTCCACCCACCCTGGACCCAAGACCAGGATCCAGCTTTCAGCGGGAGACCTCTCCTAGTCTAGAGAGCATAGCAGGAACAGCTCTTATAAGAGCTAGTGGTTATACTCAGTGGAGTATTGTGATATGGCAATCCCCAGAGTGAATGTAGTTCTCCAATCCCTCAAACATGAGCCAAGACTTCATGACGGGGTAAACTAATCTCAGTTTAAATGTAGCCACAACTGGCCTTTTATGACAGTCCCCGTGCAAGGGGCACTCCCCCCTGGACCTGAAAGTAAACCACAGTAGAAATAAATACACAATCACAATTGGCTCTCAGGTCCAAGACACTCCCATACAAAATTAGATAACGCCTCCTCTGTGCCTGGGAGATAATTGGTTTAGGAACTGTACTAATCTAATCCAATTATCTCCAAGCACAGAAAAAACATAAATTTTTACAAACCCCACAAAATACCTTAAAACACACAAAACCCCCACGTTACATCCCCTGATAGCCCTGATCTGGGTGACCAACATATCCAGAAATCACCCAGATCAGTTCAGGGATTCAGGAGTTTCCTGGAAGTCTTACTTTTGACTGAACGTGCACATGGTCCTATGCCCAAAACAGTTTCAGGGAATCAGGGCTAACGGTCCATCTCTCTGTCTGGAGTCAAAAGTACATAACGCTGAATGTCAGGCATGTTCTACCAACCCCTCCAACTCTGATTGGGATTGTTACAGCAACTAATACTCCCTCCTGGAAATATTTTTTTTTTTGCCAGCGAACAAATCACGTCCCGACAAAGAGACCTCGACTTAGAAGTGTCAAAGAGCTTCCAACGCAACTCCCTCTCCGTCTGAGAAAAGACTAAGGTGAGCAATGTAAGTCCATCATCTTTGCCAATACTCCCCTGCTGTATAAAGAGGAAGAGGAAAGGATGAATGAGAAGGTGATAAAACCCTCTTACTATGCGTAGAAACAGCAACTGAGCACATTTAAATGAATAACTATGAGTGCTTTGTTTCTGCCATTTGAACTCTTTGGGGGGTTTTTTTCCCTTTTTTTCCGTCGGCGTGCTTGTTCCACATTTTTATTCTTACCTCCCTGGCTGATTGAAAAAGGATAGTTGAAACTGGGTAAAGAGAAAGTGAGGGAGAAGGAGCTAGATAAAAAATAAAAAATAAATAGAAGGAAATAAAAAGTAAATGCGAGGATGAGAGAAGCTACTCCATTTAACCAAACAGCGAGTTATAAAAGAAAAAAAAGGGGGGGGAGGGTAACACAACGGGAAGGTGAGGAAAGAGAAGTAAGAAGAAAGAAAGAGAAAGGAGAAGGAAAGAGATAAATGAAAAGAAGGGCAACTACAAATGAGGACCTAATGGGTTGGCAAAAAATTGCCCCATATTAACCCATAAGGGATATATGAATTTTGTAATTTCACATATTAAACAAGCGGTTTATGCAAACAAACTGCCCCCCAGTATATTAGATTAAGGGTATTAGATTGGAAGGAGGGGGCAGTGTATAAGAGTGGAGTGATGGGGGGAGTGTATTGGATTTGTGGGCAGTGTTTTGGAGTGGAGGGAGGGAAGGAAGTGTATTGGATATGGGGGCAATGTATTAGAATGGGGAGAGTGTATTAGATTTGGTCTGCATGGAGGCTCTGAACGCTACCCATGGAGATGCTGACTGGCCGCACAGCTTTTTGTCACACATGCACCTATGGAAAAGCATTGGATTGCCTGAGATCATTAAGTTTGATGATCTCAGCCAAAGTGAAGAACACTTTGAGTTTGGCATGCTTGCTGTACCGGCATGGCGAACAGCCCAGAGCAGCACGAAAAAACAATAGCTACACCAACATGGAGACTCAAGCAATTCTATGAGCTATCAACTATAAAATTACATGTGCCTATTCCAAAGACACAACATTTGTGAATACCCTGTATTGGGGGATATATCTGGATTTTAAAGCACATTTGAAATAAAGTAATTTTACAGTGTGAGAGCCAAAAGCACTGTACAAGCAACCAAAATAAAGCAAGAAACACTTTGAAACGTATGTAATAGATGTTTGTAAGCTTATTATAAACTTGGTCCGGTTGCATCATTGGGCACGCCTTTCTGCCAAGGCAGTTTCTTCAGCCAAACCCCCCTCTTCCTCACCCATCTCTGTTTCAGTTAAGCCAACTAATGACATCATTGTTAGCAGCAGGGGAGAGAAACCTGATACCGGAGCCTGCTCTCTCTGCATGAATCAGACTCTTCTGTGCAACTCTGTTAGATATGCTAGGTTAGATCAGTATCCCCCCTAGCATGCGTGTGGAAAACATAAGAAAGAAGAAGCAGGTAAACCTGAAAAATATTATTTATCTGTTTTTTTTTTCATGCTGCAAAGTGAGGTAACTATCTCATTCACAGCTAAAGCTTTTGAATGAGATGGTTGTCTCATGGGGATAGATGTCCCTTTAAACGTCCAGGTCCTGATTTCATCCATTGGGCAGCTTTTAGTCCAGCTGAAACATAGAAAAGTAGAATGTGACGACAGATAAGAACCATTCGGCATATCTAGTCTTTCTAAATAATTTCATTAGTCCCTAGCCTTATCTTATAGTTAGAATAGCCTTATGCCTATCCCACGCATGCTTAAACTCCTTCATTGTGTTAACCTCTACCACTTCAGCTGGAAGGCTATTCCATGCATCCACTACCCTCTCAGTAAAGTATTCCTGATATTATTTTTAAACCTTTGTCCCTCTAATTTAAGACTATGTCCTCTTGTTGTGGTAGTTTTTCTTCTTTTAAATATGGTCTCCTCCTTTACTGTATTGATTCCCTTTATATATTTAAATGTTTCTATCATATTCCCCCCCCCCCTATCTCGTCTCTTCTCGAAGCTATACATGTTAAGATCCTTTAATCTTTCCTTGTAAATTTTATCCTGCAATCTATGAACCAGTTTAATAGCCCTTCTCTGAACTCTCTCTAAAGTATCAATATCCTTCTGGAGATATGGTCTCCAGTACTGCGTACAATGCTCCAAGTAAGGTCTCACCTGTGTTCTGTGCAATGGCATGAGCACTTCCCTCTTTCTACTGCTAATACCTCTCCCTATACAACCAAGCATTCTGCTAGCATTTCCTGCTGCTCTATTACATTGCCTGCCTACCTTTAAGTCATCTGAAATAATTACCACTAAATCCCTTTCCTCAGATGTTGAGGTTAGGACTCTATCAAATATTCTGTACTCTGCTCTTGGGTTTTTACATCCAAGATGCATTATCGTGCACTTATCCACATTAAATGTCAGCTGCCACAACTCTGACCATTTTTCTAGTTTACCTAAATCATTTGCCAATTGGCTTATCCCTCCTGGAACATCAACCCTGTTACATATCTTAGTATCATCAGCAAAAAGACATACCTTATCATCAACACCGTCTGCAATATTACTAATAAAAATATTAAAGAGAATGGGTCCAAGTACAGATCCCTGAGGTACCCCATTGGTGACAAGACCATGCTTCCAATATACTCCATT